TTCTGTCTCATTCATCCACATTTAAGGTCTCTTGTGATGATATTGGACCTGCCTGAATAATCCAAGGTAATCGCTCCAGTTTAGTTGCTGGTTGGAAAACTTAATTCCATCTGCTAACTTAACTTCCTTTTACCATGCAAAGTAATCTATTCATAGATTCTGAGGATTAAGACATTGGCCCTCTTTGAGGGCCAATATTCCACCTGCCACTGGTAGAAGTGAGTATGGAGGCATTAAATAACATACTTGTATATGGATGCCAACTCTTCGTCAGCTATTTGATCTTGGACAAGTTTCTTCACCTCCTTGAGCTGTTTGCATGGAAAAGCTGAGTTAATAATCACTACCACTTAGGGTTGTCATGAAGCTGCTATTAGCATCGGATAGAGAAGACTTCAACCTATGAAGAAGTCCCTTGTTAGTGTGTCCTTCTATTAAATCTGGAAAAAACATACCCAACTTGGGGCTGGGGTTGTGGCTCAGTGGTAGAGTGCTTGCCTTGCACGTTGGATCCTCAGCACCACATAAAATAAATGAATAAAATAAAGTTATTGTGTCCAACTACAACTAAAAACTAAATATTTTTTTAAAAAATACCCAACTTCTCAAAAGAATGTTGTAGGTTATATAGCTTTCTTAGATAACATTTATTCTTTTCAAGTGAAAGAAGTGAAATTCATCCATTTTAATACCTTCTTTACACTGCATTGCCTACTCCTGTCTTGAAAAAAAAAGACAATTGATTAAGGACCTATTATCTATCTTTCCACCAGTTCACCATGAAGATACTCCATTATGGCACAGTCCTTGAAAAGACAAGATTAATGAACTTGCAACAATTAGAGAAAAATTGATGGATAAATTGTGCTGACCAGGACTACAATTAAAGTTCAAGAAAGAGATAGATCTGTAAAGAATGATCTAATTACTTAAAGCTTTATTGCAACATAGACAGTATTGAAAGAGACTTTGAAATAAAAGGAACAAAATTAGCAAATGTGAGAAGTAATGGGTGAGAGACTGAATATGGTCTGTCGGGAGAAAGGAAGAGAGCTACCTGGCAGAGTAGAAGCTGTGTCTGGTGAAGTCACAGGAAATGCTGTTTACTTAGAATAAGGAGCTGTGTCACAATTAGACTTAAAAGTTTAGATGGAAAAGGATGATTCTGAAGATTATTGATCAGGACATAATGAAGCTAAGGGAGGTAAATTTAGAAAAGAGATGAGCTGATAGACACTGGAGATAAATATGGAACTCTCTCCTTCCCAAATATAACAAAACTTGATATTAACCAATGCAAGAATCATCAGAGTTGGGTCTCTCTCTCTTGCTCAAGCATTTCTGCTTATATTAAAACTTTTCATGAAAGAAACTTTGATCCATTGACGGACTAAGAGGTGTCCTGAGAGACGGTAACCTTTTCTAAAAATCATTATGAGGGAGTGTGAGAAGAGAGGGGAGACATTTATTAAACACAACAAAGCAAAACTCTGCCCTTGAGATGAATTTGTTCTTTGCCATCTCATGTGGTATATATTTGTGAGTTTTAATTCAATGATCATTTCTGAAAAGAGTACAAGTTTTTGGAATTCATTTGTTTACAAACTGATGACCTTTATAAAAGTTAAAAAAAAAAACTTCTGAGAATCTCGAATTTCTTCATCTTTAATATTGGACTCACACTGCTTACCTAATAGGGATTCTGTGAAAACTAATATCCATAACCCACCTTCATCAGTGAGACTAGTTCCTAAACAGTTTCTTGGCAGCCTAAGTAAAAAGAAATTCATCAGAAGGATTTGAGGCAACTCACAGGCTCAGAAGGAAAGGGTAGAATGCAGGGGCCATAACTTAAGAGGCTACCATTGAAAGAAGCCAGCACTACATAATTTCTGTCCTCAGGTCACTCTGTTCAGGACTCAAAATCCTAGGGAAAATAATGTCTAATATGAAAGTAAAAATTTCACTGGACAAAGTGACAGGTAAGGAAGACTTTATTCAAGGCAATTGCAGTAGAGGAGAGAGGAAACCAGTCTGAACCCAACTCTGCAGAAACCAGAACAGAGCTTTAAGAGCTAAGATGAGCGGGGGAACTGTAGACCAACTTTGTTTACTAATTGGCTTTACCCAAAAGAAAAGTCAACTCTACTATTTTCATGGCAGGAGGTAATTTTAAAACTGGGAGGAAGGCACCCACCTGAGTTAGGCTCCTGCCCTTCCACAGAAACTGAAAGTAGAGAGTACTCTCTCCCCTGATGATTACATTGCAAAGAAGAGGCTCCCAGGCCTTTGAAAAGGTGGCCCCGGGTTGTAAAGCTGGCAGGAGGCTTTCAAAATATTTACATATCAAAGGGGCAAATAATTGCTCTGAGAAAAAGGAGAGAGTAAGGCGTCTTTGTCATCAGGGTAGGGATACTGCAAGGCACCTCCTGAGATTAGAATATGGGGTAAGGTCTCTCTCTCTCTCTCTCTCTCTCTCTCTCTCTCTCTCTCTCTCTCTCTCTCTCTCTCTCTCTCTC